CCTCCCCTGTCCCCCGGTCTGTGGTCAGTGCGGCCCTGTCCTGTCCCTGGCCTTTGGGCGGGCTGCAGCGGGCGGGGGTGGAGGCGGTGCACAGGGGGAGCTGGGCGTGTGGCTGTAGTGCCGCGTGGCCTGGCTTGGGCCCTGGGGAAGGCCACGTGGCTGCTCTGAGCAGTGTCCTCTTTGTCCGCCCCTCTCTCTGTGGCGGCCCTGCCCGGCTCTCCGCCCAGAACGCCCTGGACTGCATGCAGGTATTCAGATGCGCTCCCCGTGTGTGCGCTGCTGTGTGCTGTGCCCCCGTCCCAGGCAGCCGTGAGCCTGGGCCGCCTCTGTGGCCTCCCTCTCCCGCTGGGCCTCCTGACGGGTGGGGACCTGGGTTCTGAGCCGGGAGCCGCGGGGCAGAGCGCGGCTCCCGGGACGGGATGGCCCAGCGCACCGTGTCTAATGCGGTCATGCTCAGGCTGGCCTGTGAGCTCAGGTGACCGCAGGGAATTAGCGGGGCTGATGTGGGGGAACAGCACAACTGGGAGACCCAGGACCCAGCCGGGGCTCACAGGGTCGGCACCACCTCAGGCCTTGGCCGCAAGCTCCCTCCCTGGGGGGAGGGGTCTGGGCTTGCGGGGGAGGGAAGGGAGGGCCGGCCCCTGACAGCCGGGCTGGGTGGTGAACTCGGAGGGGTTGTCTGGAGGGGGAGCGAGGGCCAGCCCGTCACCTGGAGCTCGTCAGAAGCTGGTCTCAGCGCGGCTGCAGCGCGGTGGCTGCCAGCTCCCCGCAGGCCTGGCCCGGCGGGCATCCCCCGCGACGGGGCTAGGGAAGGGTGAGCAGTGCTCTGAAGAGACGCTGTCCAGGACTTACAGCCAAAGCCGCAGCACGTCCCAGCGCCCTGCCTGCTGTGGAGTGCCGGTGGATGCACGGAGGTCAAGCCCTGCCCTCCAGGCTGCGGGAGCACGGTCCCAGGAAGCAGTTCTGCCTTGCGTCTCATGCTGCATGTTGCCGGGCAGCTGTCTGTGGACCGCATGGCCGGTCCCAAGCTCCCTCCCTCGCCCAGCTGACTGCAGTCACCACCACAGATGCCCAGGAAATGCGGCGTTAGATCCCTCAGCATTCGGCACTCAGCTGCATGGACGTTTCTGAGCCCGGCTTCCTGGAGTAACAGAGGAGGAAGTGTCCACTCGAGACACTGGACGGACTCCAGCCCCAGGGCCGGGAACAGTAAACCACCTACCACAGAGCAAGGCGGCTCCGGTGAGCTGCCAGGCCAGCAGCTGCTCACAGAGGGAGGCCCAGAGGCCGGACGAGGCAGAAGGGAGATGCACGGAGCACCTGCCGAGCCCCGGGAGAGCTCTAGAGCACGCCCAGTCCCAGCGGGCTCCTGGGTGGCTTATCACCACAGTGTGCAGTGGATCGGGTACCACCTGTAAAATCAGAGGAGATTGTGAGCTAACTCCACATTTCTCAGATTAAACAAGCTAGGCACACATGTGGGAGCCATTTATCCAAGGACGAATTGGCTTAACCAGCCTCGAGGACAGAGCCAGCCTGGTAAATCACCTCCAGGGCACTGAGAAGTCTCTGCAGAGAAGGCATATTTTAGGGACACAGAGTGAGAGAGACAGGGACAGGGACAGGGAGATTGGCCTCGTGTACAGGGGCGTCTGCCACGCTTGCTCCTTGCATGGATCCTGGCATCTTGCCCTTGGCACGTGACTGTCTTCCGGTGCCGGTCCTTCGCACTTCTGCAGGCATGTGCTCCATCTCTTCAACACCCTGGGTCCCCTCTCCCGGAGCAAGTCTCCCCGTGGACCCTCAAACTGGCCTGGTTGGACACAACGCTGCACACGGCCCTCCTGTGAGTGGGGGAATAGCGGGCACGGCGTGTTGTTGGATATTTTCCCGAGCCTCTATAAATACCCACGTTCACATTTGCGAGTCTCTGCTGTTTGTTCCAATTATAGAGCGTTTGCTGATGATGAACCATCTGTCGCTGCCGTGGCCAGGGCTCAGGCACCCTGCCCTCCACCTTCTGCGAGGCACACACATACACGCATGCACACATGTGCACACACACACGCACAGAGGCCAGGTCCCCACCCTCCTCCTCATCCCCAAGCTGGGACTCCATACTGCTTTGATTCCTGAAACTTGTGTAGCCATCTAAACACGCCGGCTGGGGACCAAAGCAGGGCTGCTGTTCTCCCCGGGTCTCCTGTAAGAGGGGCCCTGCGGGCGATGGGAGGTACGCAGCCCGGCTCCCGCCTCCGAGTGGTCCAGGTCCTGGACAGCCAGCCACAGCCAGATCTGCTGATTTGCCCGTGTGACAGGTTGCGGCTCTCAGACTGTTGGTGTGGAGCTGGGGGGCTGGAGGCTCAGCTGCTGCTCACGGCACAGGACCGGGTGAACCAGGACAGATACGGATGAAGCAAAGGCTTCTGGAGAACACACCATGCAAGGATCGGCGACCCGGGAGGGGCCGTGCGGTTCCTGTGTGACAGCCGCCCGGCGGGCCTCGGGGTCCAATCCCTCCAGGTCAAGATCTGGACTTGGTGCCGCGTAAGAGCCCGCCCTGGGCCTGGCCCTGACCGTCCTGGGCCTGTCCTCCCACGGGTGGCCATCTGTGTGTCTTGAGCATGTGAGCTTTGTCAGGGATGCTGGCGTCTCCATCCCTCACCTCGCCTGGACTCCGGCCGCCCCGACTGGCAGGCCTCGGCCGTCGGTGGAGCCCACCCCCACGGTGCGGTGCGGCGCGGTCTGGCGGCCTCTGGCCCCCACTCTGCCGGGGCTCTCGTGCTGGGGACTACCGGTTCCAACACTCGGACCTTTCCGGTTGCACATCTTGCTAGGCCAGGGCCTGGGCGGCTACGGCCTCAGGAATCTGCAGGCCATCCACACCACCCAACCCCGGCTGCCGCTCTTGTGGGCACAAGGCCACGTTCCAGACACAGCCGCTGTGTGCAGGAAGGATGGGCTTGCCTCTGCGAGGTGACTGCATCAGGGCGACCCGGCCCTGCTCCCAGGAGCCTCTGGCCCCGCAGCCCCCTGAAGAGCTCAGCTGAGCCCGGGCTGCCTGCCCGCCCTCCTGCCCGCGCCTGTTTGTCTGTTGTTCCCAGCCAAGGACCTTGCCTGCCCTGGAGGGCTCCTAGCTCTGTCCTCAGGGCACCAGGGTCCCTGCGTCGGCGGGGCCGGTGACCCGGAGGGAGTCTGCACGTGGATCCCCGCGCCCTCGCCCGCCTGCCCCGCTCCCCAGCCCCGAGGGCTGCTTCTGCGCCATTCTCAATGGAGTCCGCTACCTTGGCTCGGCTCATTCAGCTTTTTAAAAGAAGAATCCTGCTGATTTTTTTAATGAATTGAAGAAATTAATTATAGACTTGGGACTTTTAAGGTTATTTTTAGAAGCCCATGATCTCAGACATAAATAGCACTTCATTCTGGACGAAGTAGCTGAGGCATTTAATGTTTGCGGTGGAGAGGGGGGAGGAAGAGAAGACAAGCGGGCGGGGGAGAGGGGGCAGGAGCATGAGGAAGGGGGAGCAGCGAGGGGGAAGGACACAGGGCGGCCACTGCTGAGCCTGGACCAGGACATCAGCGTGGCTCACAGCCCTGCCCTTGGGTCCCACACACCTATGTGGAAGTGAGCAGCAACTGAGTGCGGACCAGATACGGGAGCTGGTGCCGACAAGACCCGGCACCGATGTGCTGTTGGAGAGACGGACAGGGTTTTCCAGCCACGGGGCGGGGACAGTCCTGGAGCAGGAGGCTGAGCCAGCCACCGCCGGTCAGGAGCTGGCACACCGGGCACCGCGTCCACACATCAACTCAACAAGTGATTTCTGAGCACCGACTGCGTACCTGGCGTGGAGGACGCCCGTGGCCAGGAAGCAGAGGCCGGAAGCTTCGTGTGTTGGACAGACAGGAAGCAGGGATTGGGAGCTAGCGGAGCAGGCGGGGTGTGCTGAGGAGGCAGAGGGGTCCTCGATGCCCGTCCTCGGCCACCTACGCTGACGAGTTCCAGAACTCGTGTCCCGGAGGGAACGGGAGAGCGCCTCACTCACCAAGCCTGTGTGGGACCGCAGCCACGCAGGGCCTGGAAGGCGGAGAGGTCTTCCAAGCCCGGCCAGGGCTGGGCACGGCTGCCATGCCCGAGGAGGGAGCTTGCTGGTCCGGCCTTCTCCTGTGTGTGTTCCCTTCCCGGCCCCTGGGTATCGGATGGCAAATGGCAGCCATGTTGCTAACCCTGTATTGTTCAGGAGCGGTGTTCTTGGGGGGCTGTGATGCCAGGGGTGTGTGCTGGGAGAGAGCGTCGCATGCTGGCTTAGCAGCTGAGCTGCTCCCCAGTCAGTGCCCTGCCCCAGCCTCACACTCCAGATCTCAGCCAAGGCAGAGCATGCCAACCGCACAGCGCCGGGCTGCACACGGAGCCCAGAGCCCTCTGAGCCAGGCCGGCTGAGCCACAGACTGCTGCCACCTCCGCACCTGCAGGTCCTCAGCCGGGCTGCCTGGAACCTGAGATCAGACGCTGCCCCACAGCGGTGCTGAGCAGAGCCTGGCTCCCCATGCACACCCCTCACGCGTGTACACAGAGCACAGGCACACATGTGCACACGGGTAGATAGATGCGTGGCAGATGCACACAGCACATACGTGTTCACGGACACACAGCACCTACATGCACGGGGACACTACACATACATGTTCACCCACACGCACAAAACACATGCAGGTGTGTGACACACATGCCATTCACATACATTCACAGGCATGCAGTTGCACACAACATGCATATATGACTGGAAACAGCACACGTGTGCATAGGCACACAAGGCAATGCAGCACACATGTACACCAACACGCTACACACATGCACATCCATGCTCACGCAAGCTCATGTGTGTACACTCACAAGCACACACATGCACATCCATGCTCACACAAGCTCATGCGTGCTCATCCATGCACACCCCCTCCCCCGAGGCCCCCGCTGACCCCATCTTGTCTTTGCTGTGCAGTCCAAAGTTCGAGAGCTGGAGGAGAAATGCAGGACCCAGAGTGAGCAGTTCCACCTGCTCTCTCGGGAGCTGGACCGGTTCCGGCAGCACGCGGGCAGGACCGACCTGCTGGGCGGCGGCCTGGCGTCCCTCCTCGACGCCTCCCTGGCCCCTGGAAAGCCTTTCCCCAAGTTCATGAATGGATTAGCGACCTCCCTAGGTAAAGGTCGGTACGGACTCCCCGGCTGGGTGGTGGTGGGCAGGTGAACCGGGGGCCCCGGGACTGGGCGGTGAGGCCTGTGTGGCAGCAGCCCCCCTGCGTTCGGGGCGCTGTGGCAGGTCACGGGCCAGCACAGGCTGCCGCCGTGCACACACAGCATAAGGTGGCTGCTCTTTGTGGGCCCAGTCCACAGAGGGGAAACTGAGGGAAGTCTGGCCCCAGAGTCTCTGCTGGCCGCTCCCGTGTGGCCCCCTGGCCTTCGACCCCGGCTCTGTGAGCCGTCTCTGCTGGGGCTTTTCCCCTCCCTTCCAGGCCACACTTAGTGGCGCAGTGACATTTTGGTAAGTTCTCCCCAGAGGTCACCCTGGCTTGGCTGGCAGGGAGGGGCAGCCCGGGCCACCATGCTGGGATGGAGATCTTGTCCTGGCTGTGGGGCCTGAGTGCACCCTGCCCTGCCCCTCCCCAGCAGCAGCAGCAGGAGAGCTTGTGCAGAGGCTGTGGGCCGCAGGCCGATCGTCATCGTGACCGTCACTATTGGTGTTTAAACGTAGAGAGGAGCAGTCTGGAGGACTCCGAGGGACGCTGTGCTGTGACAGGGGACTATATTCCGCTGTCCAGGGACAAGCCGGAGCCTTCGTGTGCCAAGCCTACCTTCCTGCCTCCGGCCAGCAGCCCAAGATGCAGAATTGAGTCCGAAGTGAGTCTTGCAGGGCGGCCTCTGGCCGCGGTGTGCTCTGCTTCGGGAGCACGGAGACGGCTCACCTGTCCTTCCTGCCCCGCCTCCTCCTCCCTCCTCCCTGCTGCCTCCTCCCTCCTCCCCCTTCCCCCGCCCCCTCCCTCCTCCCTCCTCCCTGCTGCCTCCTCCCTCCTCCCCCTTCCCCCTCCCCCTCCCTCCTCCCTCCTCCCTCCTCCCTGCTGCCATTCATTCCCAGAGTCCTACGGTGTCTGCGCGGGGAGCCCCTGCAGGCAGGCAGCGCACTATCTGGTGGTGATGCGCTGCACCCGTCGGCATTAGAAAGCGAGGCCCCGTTGAAGGTCCCGAGGACAGATCAGGCCTCCTGTCCTGGTGTGGGGGACGGGGAGGGGGCTTCCCAATATCTGGGTCCCACTGCATCCATGAGGAGCTGGTGTGGGAGCCGAGGCCTGGGAGGTGGGCAGAGGCTGCCCATGCTGGCCTCCGTCATCTCAGGAGCCTTGGGGCGGGTCGAAGGTGGGCAGCGATGCGGCTCACTGCTGTCTTCTCCAGACAGCCTGGCCTGGCGGTGTCTGGGTGACTTTGTGGAGGGTCCCCACCCCTGGCCTCTTTCTGAACTCCTTACAAGTGTCACTCTGCGTGACCAGGGCTGCGTGGGACAGCGCCTCTGTGACCCAGGCTCCTGCACAGGCCCAGGACGTGGGCCTCCCATCTCCAGGGGGTTCTGAGATGGGGGGATCTGCTTTCCCCAAGCCCCGGGGAGACTGGGGGAGGATCCATGGGCTGTGGCAGCCCACAAACATGCGTTGTCCCCAACAGATGGATAATGAACGGAACTCCAATACCTCAAAGCAGAGATTCTCGGGGAAGGTGCACCTCTGTGTGGCCCGCTACAGGTAGGGTGCCGGGGGAGGTGCTGTCTGTGGTCCTGAGCGCCCAGCTCAGGCCCGGGCGCAGGCGCGGGCGCAGGGACACCGGGGCAGAAATCATGGGGCTGGCAGGTCCAGCGCCTGAGCCCAGCAGGCTCCTCTGGGGCCACAAGAAGACGGCGCTCCAGCCAGGCCATTGAGAATGACGGAGGCACAGGGCTGGGGCGTGGACCGGCCCACACGGGGGCACAGGGGGACAGAGGGCTCTAGGTGGACAGCTCACCGTTGGGGGACGGAGGGCTCTGGGCGGGCAGCTCACCCCGGGGGGGGGGGGGGATGGAGGGCTCTGGGCGGGCAGCTCACCATCAGGGGACGGAGGGCTCTGGGCGGGCAGCTCACCCCGGGGGGGGGTGGGATGGAGGGCTCTGGGCGGGCAGCTCACCGTCGGGGGATGGGGGGCTCTGGGCGGGCAGCTCACCGTCGGGGGACGGAGGGCTCTGGGCGGGCAGCTCACCGTCGGGGGATGGGGGGCTCTGGGCGGGCAGCTCACCGTCGGGGGATGGGGGGCTCTGGGCGGGCAGCTCACCCCGGGGGGTGGTGGAGGGCTCTGGGCGGGCAGCTCACCGCAGTGACCTTCTGCCAGAGTAGGAGCCCTCCGGGGAGGCCCCGGTGTCCACCCAGAGGAGTCACCAGCCCTGGCTGTCTCGGGTTTATAGTTTTGGGGGACAGTCGTGAGCCGTGTGCCGTGCCAGTCGGCTGCCGGGGCTGGGCTGGGAGCAGCACCTGTCTGCGGCCGCTCCTGAGAGAGCTGTGTTCCATCCTCAGCTACAACCCCTTCGATGGACCCAATGAAAACCCCGAAGCCGAGCTGCCCCTCACGGCGGGAAAATACCTCTATGTGTACGGAGACATGGACGAAGATGGCTTCTACGAAGGTCTCTGTGGGTTTGTGGCTGCCGGTGGCAAGGCTGGCCGGTCTGTCCAGCCGACCAGTGTGTCTGACCCCGGGACCCCTCCCGGGCCCCCGAGCTACCCCCTGCCCCACCCCCGCGACCCCTCCCGGGCCCCCGAGCCACCCCCTGCCCCACCCCCGCGCCCTGCCCCCCCACTCCTCAGAGTTTTCGGAGTCCCTCTGTGTTCTCTAACTCAGGTGACCCCTGGCACTCGGCAGGCGGGGGCGGGGGGAGGTCTCTGCAGGGCTCATCTCAGCCCAGCTGCCCAGCAGCTGGGGCCCACCTGTGGCCGGGACCCTCGCTCCCGCTGTCCCTTGGGACCCAGCCGGGGTGGAGTGTGTGGGGGAGGTCTAGGACCTCCGGGAGACTGAACCCACGAGGTTCGAGTTCTCTGCATACAACGGTGCAGTGTCTGCACGGCACCTGCGTAACCTCGCACCAGCGCACGTTCTGAGCTGTGACGGATGCGCTGCCGTAGTAGCCCCACTGTGGCGCTGTGTGGGTTACAGCAAACACAGCGCCACAGTCAATCCAGTGTAATTGGCAGGTAAGTCGGAGTTACGCTGTACTGTTTAGGGGCTGCAGGCAAGAAAGTCTGTACCTTTGCGTACAGACGGAAACGCCCCTGGTACATACACGTACATATCAGTCAGGGTGGTGGGTGAAACTTCCTGTGGAAGCCCCGATACCTGCGGCTGATTGTGCTCCTGCTCTCTTTTCCCTGTCCACCCCCAAGAAATCCCTTCTGGGCCCTTGTTGTCAGGGACAGGGCTTGGCCGTTGCAAGAGCAGCTCTGGGCCCCTGCGGGGGACTCTGCTGGCCATCACTGCTGGGGTCTGCTGGCCGTCACTGCTGGGGTCTGTTGGCGGTCACTGCTGGGGTCTGCTGGCCATCACTGCTGGGGTCTGCTGGCCGTCACTGCTGGGGTCTGCGTCTGCTGGCCGTCACTGCTGGGGTCTGCTGGCGGTCACTGCTGGGGTCTGCTGGCCGTCACTGCTGGGGTCTGCTGGCGGTCACTGCTGGGGTCTGCTGGCGGTCACTGCTGGGGTCTGCTGGCGGTCACTGCTGGGGTCTGCCTGCAGGTCCCCCCATCCTTCTCTGCCCTGTCACCTGTGCTAGTTCAGGTGAGGTGCTGGGTGCCCTCCACCTTTCGGGCACCTGCTTTTGTGATGTCACAGTTGCCTTTCCGGCGGTGAGTGTGCGTCGTCCACGCTGAGCCGCTACTTCGCCCTTCTGGGGCGGCAGTCATGTGTGTCCTAGAGTGGGCACAGGCTCACCACCGGGGCTCCAGCCTGCCCCGGGACGTCGTGAGCCGTGGCCCGGACCCCTTCTCTGGGACTTGGGGGCCCGGGGGTGAGGGTGGGCTGATGCCAGCCTTTGCCCCTGACAGGAGAGCTGCTGGATGGGCAGAGGGGCCTGGTGCCCTCCAACTTCGTGGACTTCATCCAGGATAATGAGTCGCGGCTGGCGGGCACTCTGGGAAGCGAGCAGGACCAGAACATCATCAACCATGCGGGCCTCGGCCTGGAGGACGGACACATCCTCACGCTCCACTCCCCGACCCTGGTGGGCCCGGCCGTCACCGACAACGTCGGGGGGACGCTGGACGTGAGCATCGACGACATCGGAGAAGACACCGTGCCTTACCCCAGAAAGATCACCCTCATCAAGCAGCTCGCCAAGAGCGTCATTGTGGGCTGGGAGCCGCCAGCCGTGCCGCCCGGCTGGGGCACCGTGAGCAGCTACAGCGTGCTGGTGGACAAGGAGCCCCGCCTGAGCCTCACCCTGGGCAGCAGGACCAAGGCCCTCATCGAGAAGCTGAACACGGCCGCCTGCACCTACCGCATCTCGGTGCAGTGCGTGACCAGCAGGGGCCGCTCGGACGAGCTGCAGTGCACCCTGCTGGTGGGCAAGGACGTGGTGGTGGCCCCCTCGCAGCTGCGCGTGGACAACATCACGCAGATCTCCGCCCAGCTCTCCTGGCTGCCCACCAACAGCAACTACAGCCACGTCATCTTCCTCGACGAGGAGGAGCTGGACATCGTCCGGGCGGCCAGGTACAAGTACCAGCTCTTCAACCTCAGGCCCAATGTGGCCTACAAGGTGCGGGTTCTGGCCAAGCCCCACCAGATGCCCTGGCAGCTGCCTCTGGAGCAGAGGGAGAAGAAAGAGGCCTTTGTGGAGTTCTCCACGCTGCCCGCAGGTGAGCCAGACCTCCGCCTGGTCCCCGGGGAAAAGGCACCCAGGGGTCCTGCTGCCGGCGGGGAGCGGAGCGGCCGGCAGAGGCGGCTTCCCCCGGCAGCAGCCACCCGTGGGAGGATCGTAGTCCGAGGCTGGCCTGGGAAAACACAAGACCCTACCTGAAAAGTGAAGTGAAATGGCTGTGAGCGTGGGTCGCGTGGCAGCGACCCTCCACGCCCCTGAGTCTCCACGAAAGCCCAGCGCGGCCCCGGGCCGTGCCGCTGGCCGTGTCCCCAGCCTGCCCGTGGATTCTGAGAGGAGGAGGAGGAGGACCTCGCGTGGTTCCACACAGCGGAAGCGCTCAGCCCTGCTGACCAGCTCTTGTCTTTTGGTTGTAAATAAGGACCTAGGGCCGGGGCCGGAGTGAGTGAGAGGCTGCCACAGACGGCGCTCTGGGCCCTGGCACGGCGGGAGACAGGGTTCCTCTAGCCCGTCTCCCTGGTTCCCAGGCTGCAGAGGGCGACGGGCTCCTGGGAACAGGACAGCCCGCTGGCCGCGCCGTCTCCACGGACAGGGTGGGGGCGGCCCCGGCCCGCCTGGGACCACGGGTGGGCCGCGGTGCCAGCGCATGGCAGGTTCCTGACATGAGGACGGCCGC